TTAGTCTAATTTGAAAACTACAACAAAAAATTGTACCACCTCTTCTAGTTACACTTTGATTATGTCCTTGAGCACATTCGTGAACTCGAACATTGTGTATGCAATTCAATATGACATCATTACAACGTGTACTTATGTGTGCCGATAATGTTCAAGAAAATAGTAAAAATGGAAAGAAGTTCAATTAGAACACTCAAAACAAGAAGAAAGAGCAAAACAAATGCCAAGAAGATATGCAAATAAATGTCAACCTAAGTTATTAAACATCAAAACTCTTTAATTTCATAAGAGGAAAAATGAAGAAAGACAAATAACAGTAAACATAGTGCAATCTTGTCCTTAATCATCAAACAGAAAACTTCTCACGTGTACTCCCAACATTTCATCATAAAGCAGGCCCAACATACCAAAATAAATATGCATTATTCAGTGAATGATAATAAGATTCGAACACCAAAGTTAACCACATCAATGAATGTCAAAACTCCAGCTGAAGCATCTACTCAAAACATGAGGCATTTGTATTGGCTACAAAATTACAAAGTTTTTTGAGTAAGATCACTCGATGTTGAAAATTTTATTGAAAGTATAAACAATAAGCAAACATAAGGATGATATAAAATAGGTGTAATACACGTAATGACATAATTAACTTGTAATTTTGAAAGAACTCTGCCTACCTAATGAATTGCAAGAGAATATGGAATTTAGACGCTAAAAAAACTATAAAATAGGAACTCTAAGAAATTAAAGGAACATATTAGATATCACTTCTAATTTTAGGTAACAACTTAGTCCATCTAAAAACTACATTTGGAATATAATGCGGTAAGAATGTAAGCTTTTTCTCTTTTTAATTTATATTTTGGCAAAATGTAAACTCTATGTTTAAATTACCATTGCATGACCAGTCAGCCTAATAGGGAGGATATATGCAAAGATAGCCTAAAAACAAGGCCATATTTCAAGAATGGCCCTTGACTTTTCTAAAAAATTAAAACTACCTAAAATACCCCAAGAAAAATATTTATCTAAAGCTACCAAGATATGAAAAGAGCACAATCAACTCCTAAAGAATTAGATTATCATAAAATGACTTATAAAAACCCAAGATCTAAAAGAGGACCATATAAGATTAAGAATATTGCAAAAGATAAAAAAGAAATTGAATTTAATAATGAATTTGACAAAATTGGATATCAAGAACAATTAATTGCATCACAAAAAATATTAAAATGTTTCAAAGAAAAT